GTTTCCTTTCGTAACAGATTGCGTGATATTACTCTTGACATGATACACAATAGTTTTCATTCTATTTATTTTATTGTACTTCATTTCAAGATTCTTTACTTTAGAAAATTCTACCCATACATTCCTCAACATTACTTAACATGTATAAAGACTTCAAAAAGAGAGTCTTATATCATACATTGCTAAATGGTCAATGTAGAATAAAGATATATCGTACTTATAGATATAGAAACCACAAATACTTGACGAAATAGAAATAGCGGTTTAGACTATTGGAAAGAGGTAAATGAAGACAATTCATCTTAAAGAATAAGATTTATGTATACATATTCAATAAGGTAATGTTGAATACTGTTATAATTTTAATATCCAAAAAGAATTTGGATGCAAAAAAATAAATGTTGAAACAACTATTCATCGTTATAAAATAGGCATCGATCGATAGCATTGACAAGATTTTGCTACTGGTTGAAAGACAATTGCGTAAAATTGACTTTATCAAAAATTCCTCTTTTTTTTTGCTAATGTAAATAGGAAGACGATGATAGCTTTTAGTTTATAAGCCCTAAATTAATCTTCAAATTTGTACCTACTCAGAGATTTCAGGATTAACGAAAAGATTGATCCAAGAATTTTATACTTTTTTATCAATTATAATACAAAATTCAAACTGTCCTTACAATCCTACAATGTATAATGCACATACATATGGATTGCATATGTGCATGTATAGTTGTGGGAATGTTGGTACTTTATACGTATAACTATACATTAGTAAAGTATATTGTGTGTATAATTGTTTTACGCTGTACGTCTGTCTATGTTGTACGTCTATCTATGCATGTGCAAAGTATTATAGCCGATGGCATTCGAAAGTTATGCCTGATGTGGACTTTGAATTTTACGCAAACAATACGACATTCTGCTATCATTATATTTACAACGGATTGATATGTATGGCTATTTCTGTATTGACTGAATTTTTAATGTATGTCAAAAAGACAATTCAATTACAATAATAGGAGGGGGAGATGACAAGAACATTATTGGGAAATAATATTAAAAAATCGGTTAGATAGCTTTCCTTCGTATTGAAAATAGGATAATAAAATCATTTATAGTAGTGAACATGGTAGGGAATAATAGGCTATGTGTGTACATGCATAGCTACAGACTTGATTGGATGTGTGATATAATAAGTGAACAGAAGACATTCTAAAGTGTCTTACTTATTATGATATCGTTGTCATTCTACGCTTTATCTGGTGCTTTTTGTTACTAGTGTAGAGATTGGTATTGTGCAATGGGGAAAAAATGTCATCGCATTGATTGGTGAAATCACTTTTAAGAGATAACAAGAATAATACAAATAGAAATTAAATACAAAACAGCGAGAATGGTATTATGAGTATTGATCCTTGTCTATTTCACTTTGGATCATGCACTTACACTCATATTTGTAGCCACCTATCTATCAATACAATACAAAAAATTTCTAACTGTAAAATAAAATAACAGTACTATGGCTATTTATTCATATCTATTTTCACTTGGAACACCTATCTACACTTATAACTATTCTGCTCATCTAGTAATGCAATTTTTTATATTACCACTTGAAAATTAGTATGTTAACAAAACAAAAAACATTAAAAATTTTGGGTAAAAAGATTTTATTACATACAGATATAAAGATTTAATTACTTTAATGCCTGTATTTTTAATATCTTAATCGTTGGAATATATGGTATAATACTAATTGCAATTAATGATTTATTTATTACTCTTTCTTTACAAGATTTAGTTACTAAAAAAAGTAAAAAAATTACGGTCTTATGGCAACCAAACGATATGATATGTTTCGCAATACTAAACCATGGGATACCACTACTAAAGAATCGTTAAAGCGATCGGCGCCTTTTACAGATATTTGTCATACAACAAGTAAACAACGAAAAAATTCACATCCTACACGAATTCGATTTGCTGAAGGAAGCGATACCGATAACAATCATATCAGTAGTGGTAGTGATGGTGGTAGCATGGATGAAGAGGGGATAAAAAACAGCCATGGCTATGGAATTAATCAAGCCAAGTTAACACCTCATTCTCAGCATACTTATGATTTATGCGAAAATAAAAAAAATGATAAAGATAATTTCAATATTAATGAAACCTCAGGAGTTAAAGAACAACCAGGACAGTATCAAACTAAAGAAGTTAAAAGTAGTGATAAAGTTAAGGATCGTAAACGATTAACTTTAGAAGTGAAGGATATTAAAGATGGCATATCTGATGATCATGGTCATGATTCATCTGTAAAGAGTACTACTATTTTACCAAATTGGATGGGTAAGTAGTCATTTCAGATAAGTCTATCACGCTGTACTCTTATATCGCTTTGAACATGTTATTAAAGAAAAAATATAAGGACATCTAAGTCGGTATCACCTAGAATTGCAAAACTTTACGTTGATAATATCGCTCAAATATTATTCATTTATCAAGAATAGTTGATGTGAAAATTAATTCTTTCAAATGTTATTATTGTGAATGCTCACAGGTAATTCTACATCAATGAACTATGGTAAAATTAATCAACATGGCGTAAGCGGAAGTATTGTGAATTCCGATATGCGAAATAATCCCTTACTTCAGGGATCGATATTAGATCCATCGCATTCTTCTACTACTATTACTTACGATAATAGGTAGGTGGAGAAAAAAATATTTTTATTAGATAATGTCAAAATTGTACCAAACAGTTATAACACACACACACACAACGATATACATTTAGATAGATTGATAGAGGTATCCTTGTAGTCTATTTAGCTACATCTTCATAAATGCTCGTATATCATTAATAATTGTTTATTTTGCATGATAAGACACTGGAAAGATTTGATCATTTGTTAGTACTGTAAATTTGTTATTAATTTAGACTACAATTTGATGTGTACAGTAAAATCTTTTAGAATGTTTAATGTTTTTAATTTTTTATTTTTTAATGGAGCAGGAATTCAACAGTACCATCATCTGCATCGTCTTCCTCTCCCTGTATGTATTTTTTACACACATCTTGTCGAACGACTTGTTGTCATGATATGCTATATCTTGACTTTTCAAAAATAAAAGACATTAGAACAAATCTAAGTTTTTTTTCTTTTTTGGGGTGAAATCCTTTACATTATCATTTCATCAGTTAATTGCTGTCTGATGTTCGATATTTTCATAAATAATAAAGGTCATGATTTATACCATAACGAAATTTGTCAATGGCCAGGCTGTGAAACAAAGATAAAAACGTTTGATGAATTTTTACGGTAAGTATACTGTCTGTATTCTTAAAAGGATAGCATGACCATTATTAAAATTTTACAAACTATTGCCGAAATTTACAACATAATATCGAATTTTTATTATGTCTTGTCTATTTATAAGGCATTTGAATACGGATCATAAATTAGATGATAGAAGCACTGCTCAAACTAGAGTTCAAATTCAAGTTGTTTCCATATTAGAATCCCAGGTCCTACTAACTTATTTATCGTAAAATTACATAACTTTAAAATACAAAATTTTTTTCAATCAACTTGTAAATAAATGTTATCTTAAACCAATTATTTTAGCTACTGAAAGAGAGACAACGAATGATAGCAATGACTAAACATTTACAAGTATCCCCGGTAAAACTTTTTAGGTGTTTTACACTTTAAATATACCTACTTTTTCAATTAGTAAAACTATTGGTTAACCCTGATCTAATACACATTTTACGGTCATATAAATACGTTATATTATTTTAACATATTAATAATTAATTATAAACCGTTATTGTAGTACTCACCAATTCATTCACTCGACTATGCCATGCATCAAAATATTAATAATGCACAAGTCTTACCAACACTTTCACAGCTTACCACTGCTCAGGTTTCTATAGCAATGATATCTCCCTAACAACGAACATTTACTGTTACCTGCTATAGAAGAATTGTATATGCATTACATTATGAATTTTTATTTTAAGATGGAGGAAATGCAAGGACAAAAGCTTCAGCCAATACAACAAATGCCACAATTTGGATACTCATATCCTTACTACACGCCATCGAATGTTGCATTTGGAGCTTTACATTCTCCAGTTTCTAAATCACAGGAACCAATCATACCTCGTCGAAAAAGACACGGGAAAAATCAGTTAGAAGTTCGCGATATTACGTCAGGTATTTCTTTGTGTAAGACGTTATATTTTGCATGGACTACATTTTAACCTTACGGTATTTCATTTGCGAACGATATTGTGAACAAATATTTTGTCTTATAAATTGTAGAATTAGAAAAAGCTCGAAATTATTATCAGCTTCATGATCAACGCCCTCCATTTACGTATGCATCAATGATTCGTCAAGTAAGACATTTCGATGAGTATAACATACAGTAGATACTACCTGATACCAGTTAGATATTTTTAATTGCGCTTTCATTTTGTTATGCATGCTAACGCTAATGATTGTGGTGTTATTCTTTAAGGCAATTATAGAATCGCCGCATCAGCAGTTATCACTAAGTGAAATTTATAATTGGTTTGTTGCTCACTTTAAATACTTCAGAAATAAAGAAGATGCCGCTACTTGGAAGGTTGATTACGTTTATAGTAAATGGGCATAATGAATAAAATAAAAATATGAAAGACGTTTAATTTTGAGTCGCAATACATACTGATACATTTTAACGGCATAAAGCTTTAGTGTTTACTTGATCGCGCCATTATATGAATTTGATAAGATAATTGATATATTTATTGATAATAGAACGCTGTTAGACATAATTTATCGATACAGCAATGCTTTGTGCGCGTGGAGACTTTAAACGGAGCCGTATGGACTTTTAACGGTAGCGATAATCGTAAAAGGAAAATGTAAGTATGAATGAATCCATTTATTCGTCATGAATGGAACATGATCTCATAGTAGTAGCCTTAAAAATAAGTCAAAAGGCTTCTACCATTAGTAATTTTTCCCTACATTAAATGTTTTCATATTCCTATAGGCGTATAAATCAATATAATAAATTTTAAAATTTATGATTTAATTACCATCTATGTAGTGAACACCATTCACCGAAATTATCCAGCATTACAAGTACTGCAATCAGATATAGCAACAGTCTCGATAAAGATGGCCTAATGAGCGATAAGAGGTAAAAAATTTGTGAAATTATTTTGTCTACAATATCTTGACATGGTCTTCATTATCAGCTGACCTTAAAACTAGTAAAAAGATCAGTGCATACCATCTGTTGTAGTCAGCATTTGGTAACGCTTGGGTATACCGTTATTATGTAATTAAGAGCATGTTTTATTAAATATTTCAAATCTTCGATATTTATCTAATTAATTTATTATTAGTGACAGGCTGGATACACAAAAACCTGTGAAGGCAAAAGAAATAGTAAAAGACAGTGATAATAATGCCACGATGAAATCATCGCCGATAGAAGAGTAGACATCAAGTTTTATTGACACGATTTATGTTATATTTATTAAATCTTTCTTGAATTTTTGATGCATCTTGTATCATACTGATATTTAATAATTTATGACTCAAAATTTTCTATAATATAAATGATATGGTTATTATAGTGCGTATTGGAAATGACAACAACAATCTTACTGTTATTATCTAGATATTTATAATTAAGACTTTTTACGCAGTTTATTTATGTGCGTATTACTGGCTTTATGCAATCATGTTATACGATTAAAATTTCAAGATATTAAACCGTTACAGTACCATTATCAATATGCTAAAAAATTTATATATGTTTGCCTTTACATGAAACTAAGACGACAGCCTTTGTGTATTTCATGCATAGTAAAATGGAACTTCCTGCTATCGCGTTAACGGTAGGTTCAAGTATGGATCACTTCTATATGACGCTGTAGCAAAGACTTGTTCATAAAAAGTTGATATCATGCAGTTTTTTTTGCTTTAGGCATCTAAGTTTCATATAAACATGTCATTTCCGAATACGATAAGCTGTTTACTGTACTTTAAAGAAGATGCATCAACTAAGTTGAGATACGTTTCGTCCTATTAACTGATTAAAAAATTTATAACGTCTACTGTGCATTTAGAACGCGCCTATTCCTGTTGTGAAGATATTTCTGTTTAGGCGTAACATTTCTATTTTACACAAGTTGTTATTCGTTGCAAAACACTATAAGGTAGGAGTATAATGTATCCTTTTTTCCCCTGGCTATTTAAACTATATCATGCACAATACGTATGATAGTCATACTACTATCTTATTCTAGATGTATATTCCCGTTCTAAACTCAAACTAACAGATCGATGGCTAATATGAAAATATTCTCCGTTACTTTGTTTAGATGACACATTATTGAGACTTTGGAGAAGCATGTAAATTATAAATAGTGTTTGTACAATGGATGTTTTAACAAAACAGAGCCAAAAGTAAAGGTATGAGAAAGACTGTTGTGGAGTCTCAACTACATTATACTATCGTGAAAAATTCAGGTGGAAAATACTTTATACTAGATGTGGCATAGCAAATTATCCGTTATATCAAAGTCTTTTAGCAGTCTGTCAATATTATGCCTTATTAAAACATTTTTAAAATATTATGTGAATACGCTTTTAATGTTACTTGTAGTTAGTGATAGATATACTGTATATACGAGTATAACTCTCTCCTGCATGGACATTGCCTCGCATACCGCGCGAGTCACGTTGTGAGGGATTTTAAAAGGGAAACGCATACGCTCAACTTGGCTCAAGAAATAACTTTTACTTAATTAAGATCGACTAAGATGGATTGAGGATTGTCCTAGGCTAATGGAACAACTTTTAGCACATAGGGAAGCTCCTTTATTACCTACAGTTTACTGAGCTATTCAATGACGGTAACCTATACCAATATCTACGCTGGGTCAACGCCTATGTTTTGGAGAAAGTGTATTTCTCAAGGACCTCCGATGATTTTCAATTTTAAGATTTCGAAGATTAACTACTAAAAGTCATATAACAGTATCTGCCGTATGGTTTCAATTGGTTCAGTCTCTTGCAGTAGTTCATCATACCGCAAAATAAAATCGATTTCGAAAGTAAAACAGAATCTCATCCATCAAGTGTTGCGGTTTATAGTTTTAGTATATTGAACTTTCGATTCTGTTTTCCGTGAAGCTACTGTTTCATCTCTTGCAGTAGTTTATAACACCGGAAAACAACATTGATTATGAAAGCAAAACACAATCATCATCTTTCCAAATAGTTGCAATTTATATCCTCAATCGTAGCTTAATAGCTTAATTAAAGTCTATTTCCGTGGGGTTTCTGCATGGATGGAAGTGGATTACCTCTCGGATTCTCCATCCATCCATATTCAAGGAGAGGGACGAAGTAGTTGCTTACTGCACCACCCGTACAGTATCGCGCATAACAGATCCCAGACCGAGAAAAGAAAAAAATCATGCAGTGTAGTGTAGCGCGAAGACCTGGCTTGGCTGTCCTTCTGTCTGGAAGTCTCTAAAGAGAGGCGCTACTAGCGCCAACAAATTAGTCAAACACAGTATAGAATGAAGTGTCGTTTGGGACATGGTATAGTAGTACAGTAGGAGCAGTTGCAGACTTGAAGGTCACTTAAAATAGTTACGGACGTCCTTTGGTCGGACGATGGCTAGAAGGACTTGCATCTTGAGGGGAGGCAAAGCTTTCTTCCCTTTCTCCAACATAATCGAAGTAAATCGTCATTTCTATCCTAATAATTGGTTGTGAAATGTCAGAGGTTGATTCTGCACCCTTGACTTGGCATTATAGAGCTATCACATGCTTAAACAATAATGTTGTACTCCGTTGATTGGATTATTAAATAGAGATCTTTCAATATAAGAAGAGAGAGAATAGACAAGCTCCATGGCAATGACAGTCCAAAATAGCAAAATTCTCACCCTAGGTGTGTAGGTGATAATTAATGGAGTTGATAGGATAAATTTATTTCCATAGTTGTCTATTAATCTATCGTCGTAGCCGTTTTGAAATTGAGGTCATAGTTTATTTCTTGCATGACTTAGAAACTCATTGATCACCTATACTGGAGTGTACAGATATACTTTCATGTTGTAATTGCAAATGAGTGTCTTAAAATATCTAAGTTGGCTTACGTTTACGGTTGCAATTCATTAAGAAACGTACTGTCATGCTATATTATTATTATTAATAGTGTACAGAGAGTAAAATGAGCTAATTTAGGTTAAAAGAGATTTGTCATCATACACTATACGGTCTAGGGCAATATTTCTGTAGTTGTTCCTGGTATAGAAACGTGTCGCATCGAGGAATTACGATATTAGCAAATCAATCTCGATTGAGAAAACGACTCCGTCACCGTTTAGTACAATCAAAAATTGAAAACTGACGGATTTGCACTGCATAAACCCGGAAGGAGTTATAATGTCGTATATCATCATAAACGTAACAATACTTCATAAGATACATCTGGCCGATGTTGACCTAGCAAGAAACAAATGCAAGTGCATAAGCTCATAAATTGCGTCACTCGGTATTCATCATCGATATGAACCAAGTTAACATAGTCTTGCTACGACGATGTACTGTATGCCTAGATGAGTATGTATCTTGATGTTCTATTATGCAATAAGATTGGCGATTATTAGCTTGATATATGTATGCAAGGTTTCGATAATATATATATGAGTATAATCAATACCTCTGTATTCATTAATATGGATAGAAAATAATTTATTGATATACCCTACAAACAAGCAGCCATATTATTATTTACTATTAATGACAATTATTCATTGATAGATGGGTCAATTTTGCCAAGTCACATTGGAGCATCTTTAACGTTTTCATGTAATTTCGGCTTTTGCGTTATTTTAGCTGTTAAAATATAACTCCTATTTCGTGAATTCAGAATATGAATGGTCAACGCCGAATTAATATGAATTAATATGGAAGGAGATGATTTTGGTCATGTTGCAGCAGCTTTTATAAATTGTGTTGTTGATACGTCAGACAGGAAAATTATCCATCTTCCACGTTTAACTTACTTACAATATTCTGGTACGACTTAAAATTATAATTTAGTATTTAAGTTTTAGTGATTAACGTTTCATTGAATTATCCGCTTAACATGGTTAAAATAAACATTAAGAGATCTTCATTAAGCTTTTACTTGATGGTTAAGAATCGCTGCAACTATATTAAGATTTCAAAATGTTTGCAACACCAATTGTTTTCGTATCATATAGTAATTGTAATTATATTGTAATAATATAATATATATATATATAATAACATTGATTTATTGATTTATTTATAAAAACGAAAAGTAGGCGAAAAGATACAAATATCAGAATAGAGGACTTTGAATCTTGTCTTTATCAAGAAGAAAATACCAGTAATAGGCATGCTATCAAGAATTTAAATGCTGCAATAGATTTTGCTCCTAGTCATACGAATACGCGTACATTAATCCAACATCATATTGATAGTTTACGTACCGATCACTTAGATGAGATATCAACAAATTTAAGCTCTCAGTTGAGTAAAATTTCTGGCTCTGAATGTTCACGTAATGCTGAGAATAAAAGTCCTTCGTTAACAGCAACAGCTGTAGATCATCATGTAGTCATTGCTACTGATTCAGCAGAAGAGATAAATAGCAATTCTGAAAATATTGATACGAAATTTTTAAACTGTACCACTGATGACCATACATTAGAAAGCCAATACAATCAAGCTTGATTTATAACCAAAGAAGATAAAGTTAGCTATCATAATAAAGGTGATTTAACAAATGTGACAGATACCATGCTTATGACCGTATACAATACAATTTTATTTATTTAACTAGTGTATGTACGTTGGTCTCTAATGTCAGAATAGGAAATATTTGTAGTTATTATATCTTGTGACTTGCCTGAAGGATACTTTGAGTTTTTTTTAAATTATTTCTGTAATTTTGAATACATGAAGGCATGAGGGTAAGTATAGGGAGACATGAGACATGAGGGCAAGTAAAGACTATACCATGTATATTGTAAATATATCATAATTACATGTCTGATAACGGTCTTATTAGCAGAACCCAAATTTTTAATCATCCTTATGGTGATACTGTATATTATTTTAGCTTTAATAATTATATGCTTATTGTTGCTGTGTTGAATATAGACCAAAAGACTTTAGCAAAACAAATTCTGTAATACGCTTGGATGTCATTTTATTTTCGCAGTTATGTATAATTTAATATGGTCAAGTTTTATTTAAGATAAATTTTGTCTATCTTTGTAACAAATGTAATGACAACTTTGGCGAAAGCGGGCTTTCATCAATTTTATAGCGAATAAATAGTGTAATATTTTATACTATGAAACTTTTATCTATCGCAGCAATAATTATGTTTGTATCAACTGATTGTAGTTAAATCATCAGGGTTACATTAAAGACAATTTCGATCTTTCTAAAAATTAATTATACAATGTCAGCTACCCAAATATGCTCTATTAAATGGGGCTTATTGCAAACAAAATGTAGAAGCTAGAGTATGACATCCTATTGATATATATAAACAAAGTTTGAGCATAAACATCCAAATTATCCATGACTTTGCATTCTGATATATTCTAGAATTTAAATGGGTTAAGTTCTAGCTATTAAATTTGTAAAATTCAAGATAGTTTTGAAGATTATGCGATCTTTATACGAGTATGCTTACAAGTCCAAATTCATTATGATAACAAGGCAATACTATTATCATTATTGCATTTACATTATAAAGTAAACTGAATCTAAAAATAAACGATACTCATGACTAGTAATTATTACCATGAAGTAGCATGAGATATATTGATAATTTTTCGGTAGACCAGCTTTTTACACATCAGATATTAAAACGAGTGTGGAAATGGTCATAGATTACTCAATATTATCATGAATTAGTACGGAATATGTTGATAAATATGATCTGTAAGCAAACCAGTTTTTACACATTACTGTAGATATTAAAACAAGTGAAAATTAATTCTGAAACAGTAGTAACTTTGTTTCATATTCATTTTTTCTAGGTGAATTAATTATTATAGCGTTTCATCTAATAATATATAGATCTTTTATAGCAAATCGGGTTCTACATTTAATTTAAAATTTCACATTAAAGGCGTACAAGTTACATGAGAAGCAAAACAGTAACAGTACAAATGTGTTATAGTAGATAAGTTTTAAAAATTTCGGATCGACGTCACCCTCACGATACCAACGAATCTAAAGATTACGAATAGTTAGCGACGAAAATAATATGATTAAGAATTATTGCATCTAAATTGGAACCTTTGCAATCATTAACTATATGCAAAACGAGACAATACAGTATATAGTATACAGAATCTCACTGCAGTATAGATTGAAAATCGTTATTAGCTTTAATAGGACGTATGTAAGAAAGAATACTTCTTACTAATTATAGAGATATAATCCATACAGTATAATTAAAGAATTGTCATATTGCTCAAGTTAGAAATAGTAAATGATATTCGGAAGAATTGTCACAATCCATTATCTATATGTACGATAAAAATCCATCAGCTGCATACAATAAATAAATATAATCTGTAGAATTTTAGCTATTATAGTATCGGGAAATTTTTGACTGTTACATTTTCTACATAAAGACAGAATTACTACCAAAATTATTTTAGTAATGACTGCATAGTAGTGCGGTAATATAGCCCCTAGGCCAAAATCTAAACAAATTTTAGAATGTTATTTCTTCGTATAGGGTATAATGTTTGGTTAAGAATAACCCTAAAGCAAACGCAATCATGACTTTTGTAAAGTTTCGTTTCAAAAAAAAGTACTTCATCCTTATTAGAGTAAATGATAGATTGGATAGAATTTACTCATGAAGTAAATAATCTAACAAATAGTACTGGTAGCTATCATTACATAACAGACTCACCATAACTATTTGGGATATACTCTGGAAAACAATAGCTGCTAAAAAGACGATATTGATACCTTTAGGCGGCCAATTTATCGCAAAGACGCACACCATAGTAAACTAGAGAGGAAAATTATTTCTTATGTAACTAATTATAGCATGAATTCAGGCTGATTTTGTACTTATGTGTTAGCACTATTTATGATAGTTGTTTCTATATACGTGTTATGCATTCAAAAGTGCTGCAGTAGCTATAATTTCTCCTACCAATACAGCAGCTGTTGTAAAGAGAGATGTTCCATAATGAACAGCTTTATACTATAGAAAATAATAGAGAGAATCAAGTCAATCAAAAGATATATCGAGCTCGTCTATTACAAAAAGTAGAATTAAAATCGGTAGAATTGGATTATAGATGCATTATATCTCTTTCTCCTTACAATCTATTATAACCATAATCACGTAATAGATTTATATTTATAGAAAGCTCATCAAAAATATTAGATGAATATCATTTCTAACATGCAATGGCATGATAATTTCTATTCATCTGATTTTATTCAATGACCGGTCCATGCATTTGATTAACGAATCGGGTGATCTTAAGTCGACGCCCAAGTTATAAGACGTAAAATAATTAGGGTTTAGCTATATTATTTGGCAAATTATAATGCTTAAAACTTACTTTTGGCGGTGTCTCTCCAAATAGAGGTTTGGAATCGAAATCCATGAAAGGTAATAATAAGAGGTTTTGATTTAAATGTGAATTTTGAAAGAGTAACTAGTCTTTTATAAAACAGTAATCGATATAGTGTACAAGTATGTGAATGACAATGAAAAGCCAGCCTTCATCTCTAGACTTCAGTACAATTCGAGATTTCAGCTACATCACATGGATCCACGATATTGGAAATCATGAAGTGATTGATTGAATTACCAATTCTTAGTAAATATCTAAGCTAACGATGCTACTGGTGAAGAGAAGTGTTACAGCAGGTAACATTGGAATTATCGATGGCGTGTGAATTGCTAATTTAGTTGGTATCGTTGTCGCCAATAGAATAAATTATGACATAAAGTATGCGCAAATAGTCAATTTTTAGTTAGATTGGGATTTTATATCTAACCTGTAATACTTTATACAGAACACTATGATTAATCGTCGATTTAATTGAACATACGAGTTTTTCAATGGAACCATATTGCAAGTTGCAATTTCGGCCATTAAAACCCCTTCTAGAAATGAGATCACGTGTATAAGCGTATCTATCCTGATTACTAGATTTATTCCAATGTTGTGCATAGAATTACTGTACTGTATACTGTGTAGAACAGTGTGCTTAGGATCTATATCAATGTAGTCTATTTATGATATACGTTGATGGAATACTATTATATTGAGTTCACCTATCCTTTAAATTTCTCAATGATTGATTGTGTTATGAATTCGATAATTGTACCCTAGTTGATAGACGTAATGGGTAGATAGATGTGAAGAGATAGAAACAGTAATGGTAGGGTGGATAGTTGTGTTTACACTGCGGCAATATTGCTGGCGAAATAGTTCTTTAAGAGGAGTCTGATCATATGCAACCTTTGATGATAGAATTCAGATATTTAGAGAACTGTATATGTTAAAATAGTATCCGTGTACTGGTGATCATTGTCACAATATCGTATATTTCTAACATAAATGCTTTTCACTTCTTACGTAACTTGTAGTTATCATTATTAATGCACTTACTATGATTTAACACGGAAATGATTGATCAAAGTTTGAAAAAGATATTTCCGCTGCCGCATATAAGTATCGCCTTTTCAATTTCTTTACTGTTCTCATGAATCATAATTTGCCAAGCATTATTATTTACTACTTCTCGTGCGAAAGATGGATTAAACAGATCGCATTTAACATCGTGAGCTATTTAATGTACCCACGTAGTAAATCGCTTTAGTAGCACGAATGATTTGAATGGTAGGGAACATAGAAATACGATATGACGTTTATTGCGTAGAATAACAAACTGTTTATGTCTAGTAGTGCATGAATATCCCTCTTAAGTATGACACGAGCAAGTTCATTCCAGCATAAGGGGTCGGCGTGACGCTTACCTTACAAGCTTAACGATTTATTTAAAAGTATGCATTTAATTGAGGATTTACGAATACAATTGCATCAGTAAATACCTATACATGGGATAATCATTGTGTCTTTACAAAAATAATGATTAGTCATTGTGATTATTTACAGCAGTTTTTTACAGATTTTATGAGATTTTATGTTGAAATTTCCACCATTTAGCTGTGCAATGGGCCATGATTGAAGTAGGCCAGGTCAGTAAGTAATAGCTAATATTGATGACACGAATGTCATCGTATTGAAAAAACGACGTATGTACTGTAGGTTAAAATGTAGCAATAAAGCCTACAACTGGATCAAAGCAAACGACGTACGATTTTCAGGGTGCAACAATTATTTAATCAATATATTCTGTAGTATCACGGACTTAATGTCGGCTTTAGCAATTGTAATTTGGTCTCGGTAGGTGCATGCTTAGCTAGTAATATCTCTTCTATATTACTAGCGAGATTTGACGTAAAGTTAATGCTACCGTATGCTATTCTCGAGCGTTTTACTTTGACAGGTTCTCCAGTTTTTCCGTTTATACCTTCATGATCAACCAAAATTTTCTTGATTAAAGTGCCATACCGAAACCAATCCGGAGTATCAAGCGAGTAGTTGATGCCTTTCTTGTCTTTGACTAATTTAATAGCCTCAGATGCTTTGACACGGTGTAATGACTGTCTTGATACATGATGTTGAGCAAATGCTTAAAAATATTCAATAATTAAACTATTAGTTTTGATTAATAATCAAATTTAAGTTACCCATAGCACATTTCTACCGAAGCTACAAATGTCGTTTTTCTTATTAATAAAGATTATGTACTCGTATACATATATACCGAATATCAATTCTGCTGATCTAATTGTAGCCGACTAATAATTTAATAATTCAATAGACTAACAAGAATATATTCATATGATTAATATATTTATAGACTAACAGATTTTAGAATTTCTTAAGCAATCATGAGCTCTCCAATAAATGTTTTTGACAACTTCATCAGCATTTGGTAAGCAAAACAGGCGCGAATCAAAGATTGCTGGGTGACTTTGAATCCTAGCTAATGTCAGGGCACCCATCGTGTCATTGAATTGCTGCATATTCATATAATAGTTAAAACGGGAAGAGGCCATACCAGCAGTTAAAGAGCACAATTTCATCGTACGACCTTGATAGTGTATAATTCCTTCTTCGCCTCCTTCTCTATCGGAGCGTTGGGATGGTTCAGTCGGTGCAAACACCAAGGAAATTTCATCACTATAGAAAATGAAAATAAAAATTACAGTGGTATTCATTCATATTTTAGATTTAAAGAGCATAAGCAAAGCTGTCAACTAGTCGACAATTTCGATGCTAGTCATTTGTCATCAATTTAAACTGTTCATTGTGGATGATATTTGTAGGTGTTGGATAATAATTGCATCTGTTGTTCTAGTACATAGGTAAGTCTAAGTTGTTGTTATTTTACTACTATTTGTTCAAGCTATCGAGTTAATGGTACGGTAGTTTGATGATTATGATGAGTGACATCATCGTTTATTAATTCAACTTATGTAAGGCTAGCCTTGTATGTAATCAAAGACAGATAGTGCATCTGGATTAGTTATGCAAGGCAGTACACAATGTGCGTTTGATATCTACTCCTTGCTTTTTCTGCTAGGTAATTGCTATTCATTACAAAATAGAGTGCAAACTGCAGATGGAAGCTTTGCTATAATACAGAGTGAGATACCTGAAGCAGAATGCCGATCTCGAGCCAAATTTGTTTAGGAGGTCGGCAGCTGTATGCAACAACGCCAGATAGATGCGATGATCAAACGGTTTAGTTAAGCCTTGGCAATATTTAGTAAAAGCATGACCATCTAAACGAATGATGTAATATTGGTTGGCCTGTACTTGCCATTCCATCTGTCGTTCATAATCTTTCATACGATTTCCGATTTCTTTCAGAGGCCATTTTCGATAACTTCGACTTATCATTCGATGCATCGTTGTTCTGTCGCTATTTTAATCCTAGATTCAAAATCAAAGTACGGTACATACAGCAAGGCCATGGATGTTGATGTTACTATCCAAAGTACAGGATACGTTTATCCTACAGCCTACACCAGCTAAATCCCTACCTAGCCGGTGTAAAGTCTGAAATTTCACTTCCAGCAGCAATACACGTAATTGTGAATGCTTCAATTGTAACGATTGATTATATACGCGAATTGCATTAAATATAATTGTATCTACTGTACTATCAAACGATCTTCCAATGCGATCTACAATTATAGATATGGATTCGATATCGATCGCTATCTAAAGTGCAGTTGAATCACTAGTCGGTGGCTGCTCTAAAATTTCAGTTTTTAGTACCAATGTTGCTTGACTTAGTACATCCAAGCAAACGATCTTCCAATGCGATCTACAAGTATAGATATGGATTCGATATCGATCGGTATCTAAAGTACAGTTAAATCACTAGTTAGCTACTGTGAAATTTCAGCTTTTAGCACCAATGTTGCTTGACTTAGTGCATCCAAGCAAACGATCTTCCAATACGATCTACCAGTATCGATATGGATTAGATATCAATCGATATCTAAAGTACAATTAAATCACTAGTTCGCTGCTGTGAAATTTCAGCTTTTAGCACCGATGCTGCTTCAATTAGTACATCCAAGCAAACGATCTTCCAATGCGATCTACAAGTATAGATATCGATCGCTATCTAAAGTGCGGTTGAATCACTTAGTCGGTGGCTGCTGTAAAATTTCAGCTTTTAGCACCAATGCTGCTACACTTAGTACATCCAAGCAAACGATCTTCCAATGTGATCTACAAGCATCGATATGGATTCGATATCGATCGCTATCTAAAGTACAGTTGAATCACTAGTTGGTGGCTACTCTAAATTTCAGTTTTTAGCACCAATGCTGCTACTTTTAAAACATCCAAGCTGACGATCTTCCAATGCGATAAATCGACGTCCACCTTTGCATAGATCGACGTGGATGTTGCCGTCCAAAGAAGAGGAATCAGTGTAGCCTACCCTAGCAGCATCACTCGCTAGTAGACGATCAGAAATTTCAGTTGAAGTACGTTGCTTTACTTGTAAACGATCTTCAACACTATCTTCAAAAATACGCTAAAGTTGATCGATGGTAGCACCAGTAAGGATTGCAACTAGCAAAACTCCAAGGGCGAAAATAATAAGCCAGTCTAACTATCGAGGCTCTTCTCTATACTACTGTATAGCATGATTTGCAAGCTACAAATTCATTATCCTATGCTCTACTAATCCTATGGAAAAGAAGAAAGGTAATCGACGCAACCCTACGATCAGAAAGCCAATATTCATTGAAAGCGAGCATGCCAGCGAAGGAAGTCCATTGCTGTATAGTGTCCAATGTGGACATACGTTGCTATATTGTACTTTGTATATCGCGATTAGCCTACGCTAGTACTGTCGTCTGGGTGGTAGTACTTAGACTTGACTATCAGTTAATACACCAGGGTGCAATCGCTCTTTACCATAGAGGGGAAAGGCTGAATGAGGCGACATTAGGCAGCGCTTGCAGTGGATTCCAGGCTGTTAATCTTATGCTGGTATTTTCCAACTTCTTCATCATTCAAGCACCCAACGCTTCTTTCTACTTGTAGATTGGTAGTTCTTGTTCAACTGTCAAGGTATCCATGCCTGTATCTTGGTTGTAGCTGAAAATCGAGGTAATACATGCATTTTACTGTCTGAGAAAGAGTATCGTTTACTTTGGTCCATATTGCACCTTCATCCCCTGATAGACTGCAATAATCCATACATAGTTTAAATCCAAACTAGCAAATCATCCTTCTTTTTTAGTATTCCATGCTATCGAATAGTCAAGTCGATGCTACCAATCTTCTACATTAATGGAGGGGCTATTAAAGCGATAATTCTTGGACTATTTTCTACGTTTGTAATTGAACATTTTACCCATTTAAAGGAGTATCGTCTATGCAGACACTATTGACGTACACGTATTGACTATTTTGCTATCACTCATTGCTACTAATGTCTGCCTTTCTACTTTATGCTATCCTACAATTGAATGGGACAGCATGTGCTTACAAGATGAACCAACTGGAAAAAAACTAGTGAAAACTTAAGGCTTAAGCAAACAGAGATGAGCATCAACTCAATTGGATTTTAAATGAATCCAACTATGATCTGTGGACCAGCCGTATTAGGTTGGAGATTGATCGTCTTGACCCATTTCTACTCCTGCTTGCCTTTGTAGCTTTACACAATCGAGCTGTCTATCGAATAGTACTAGGGTAAAGTATACTCGCCATGTGAACAAAATGGACAACTGCTAGGCCATCTTCCAGCCTAAATAGAGATACGCGAGACCTTCATCTAACCGTTCAATCTTGACTAGCAATCGTAGTGGATACGCCTAAATCTAGTATCGATCAGATTGACTTCTTCTTCAGTAATAATGCCTGCCTTCTACTTTATAATACTGGTATATCATGTTGTTTGCTAAATCAGGGGCACTGGCAATTGGATGGAAACTTTGAAAGCAAATGGAGAGATGGGTACAATCAATTTGAATTAAATTAATCTACTAACTGTTATCTACAGCCTAGCTAGACCAAATAGAGATACGCGAAACCTTTATCTAACCGTTCAATCTTGACTAGCGATCTTAGTGAATACGCCTAAATCTAGTATCGATTAAATTGACTTCTTCTTCAGTAATAATGCCTGCCTTCTACTTTACAATACTGGTATATCATGTTGTCTGCTAAATCAGGGCTACTGGCAATAGGATCGAAACCTTGAAAGCAAACGGAGAGATGGGTACAATCAATTTGAATTAAAATTAATCTACTCTAACTGTTATCTACGGCCTAGCTAGACCATCGTTTGAAGAGAGCGATAGGGACTAACAAGTGCCGATACGATGTTGAAAAAATTTGCTGTATTGTCAACGGTTTTGATCGCTATCGTTCTTACAGAAATGTCAATATTTCTATTACAACGATCAAAACCATGGATCATGTTGAGAAATTCCTCAAACATTGACTAATTCACTAGAACTCATTGCTACTAATATTTACCTTGGTAGCGGTACGATCACCATGTCTACAGTAGTTAATCGATTTTAGCTTCGGTATGCCTACAATGTGATCAAAATGGAAAACTAATGGAAATTGGAGTGTAAACTATCAATTGAACTTTACTTAGTCTTTGTAAATGGAGATCACTAAAAGTACCAAGAAGATCAAGGTAGAAAAAACCATGGCGTTTTGAACCACAATCATTGCTGCCAGTGCTAGACAAGACAATCTTGAAATAGTTAGCAACACATTAATTTTATTTCTTATTGGATTCATTTGTGTCTATTGATGCGTGTAGTATTAGTTTATTTTCTGCATATATTCCTTTTGCCCTGGTGTATCGTATGATTTGGCTAAAAGCATGCTTTGACTTTCTTGATCGGTCATCGACAAACTACTTGAATGCCATGTCTACAAGAGTAAGAGTGATACGTATGGCTTACAGCCATTGTTGCTTAATTAATCTTGTCTACGCTAGAGCAGAATGAATAGAAATCCAATCTGGTGTCGAGAGAATGCAATAGTTCGATATTATTTTTGGGCAACCAAATACATCACATCAACATGACGACACCGGAGCTTGTTTATGTACCTTGTAAAAGGAGGATGGCGACACTCGTGTACTACCGATTAAATTGCCGTGACCAACAATAATAGTAAGCAATTCGCTGTATCACTTCAATGCCATGCTTTAACTAGTATTTGAATTCGAACGGTGATATTTTATTCAAGTTAGTCGTCCAGAGTAGAGAAATCTTGTACGCACAAGGATAGCATACACAAAAATTACAATGTCATGCTTCTAGCTTACTAACAACTCGTTACTGTATACATTTATGAACAGCTAATCCACTTACTGCTCGTTGTTACAACGTTTGAAATTAAAATCCAATCCATTGAAACTTTCATCCGCACAACTATGCATTTGCAATGTAAGAAATGAAACAGCAAGGATCAATGCTGTAACAGTTTTCTCTTCACTTATAGTTGACAAAGATAGAATAACTCGACTGTAAAAAAAATAGCAAAGGATAAAATGCACACATATCAATTTCTTTCATCTCTTGTCGTATGTTTGTGATATGCATCAAGAAGTATTTTATTACACCTTGAATCATGTTCTGGCCTTGTCATGTTATCATATCGGAATCACTTTGACAATCATTTTCCAGTATTAGCTAGTTGATGACGATGTGCGCTTATGATCAGCTAGCACACTATCCAAGTTTATACCGATAAGAAATTCCAGCATGACTTGAGAAGCTGCTTAACACTCACTACGTTGTCTTGCTTCTCTTTTTTCTTATTAATATAGTATTAAAATCACGTTAATATCAGGAATTTTTCGATAAAAATTCAATTTTATAATACAGTCAAAAACTATCAGCTTCTACATTGTTTGTACAGTACTGTAAGTTCGTTTCCGTTCCTTCTTTTTCTCATTTTTTATAAAATTGATTTTCATCGAGAAATCGCTGATGATCGATACTCCTATAGTACGTAAATACATCTCTGTTACGTTAATTTATGATAATGTACACGTGTTGAAATAATGTCTCAGTAAAAGTTTTTCACAGCAATGCACTTGACTAGGGATAAACGTTAAAATAATGCTTTGCAAGTTAATAGTAATAATGTCATCCATGCAGCGAACACATCAAGTGAAGGAGTGCTTGATCATAACGTAAATACATGAAAAATTATAGTGGTCTTCTATGTTTATTAAATGCTGGGATAAGACGAAGACATACTGTAGTTTGTAGGTTATGAAAGACTGTATGAGTGATGAATAATCCTTCTTAAATAAAATGAATAGACTTTTCTCCTACTGCAGTACATCATTGAAATAGCTAATATTGGGTGCTTACACTATTTGAATAGTTGAGCGAAAGTATCAGTACCTATTGCGTTTGTTTGCTTTTTTCACTTTTCTAAATCACGCAGGAATGATGCTTTTTAGCCATTGTTTTTGGTTAATATATTAAGCAAACGGCTAATTAACGATTACGTTTTGCATTGTGTCCAAATTAGAGCAGATTATTCAAAGCCAAAGAGTTACAAAAGACATCAAAGCCTCTCTTTCTTCCATGCTACTATTTCCTTTAACACCCGCATTATGATTAGTTTACAATACGTTGATGATCTTACGTATTATTATTTCAATTGTCGTCGCGAAAGTTTACTTTTCGAACATTGTCCAAAACATCGTTAACTTTTAGGCTTTTCAAATAGCTCCAGGTTTAATTTGATAGCGTGTCTTGGAGGTGAATACTATACATCTCTTTTTAATTTTTAAAATACGTATGCTAATGAAATTGTCCTATTACTTGGATTGGTTCATTCTCGCTTCCTTTCTCATCCATAGAATAGTGTCGTGAGTTCATGTCATTTTAGAAGGAGAGTTTGAAAGTAGAATTGACCATTTCGATATCAATACGCGCACTACGAGATAGGATATAAAACGTTCAACTACATTGGATCTTTTCTCCATCTGTGGCCGATGATACTACGGTTCTCTACAACTTACTATGCTACTGTAGTAGGCAAGCTGCTGCTTTTTTTTTCTGAAGCTTCTACAGTATACCAGTATTATTAGGCATGATCGATAATCCATTTTCATACGTTCGGTCGTTTTTCGTTTTAAAATCGTCGATATCTTGCCGATTTATGCAACTTTTACAATGACTTGGATATATGATTAGCGATTGCCGACTCAGCTGTAGTATTTTACTACGTTAGATAATATCTTATAGACAAAATGATTGAATTGAACTGATAGTAGGATCGAAAATTGGCAAGTTCTGAAGCGATCTATAGTAAAAATCGATACGATAACGTATCGCGATCATTTGCAAAGATTGGAAATTTATCATTGATTTTTCCAATGATTTCACGCCTATTCTCCGTACTTTAGATTCAAATCATTCAATATTGAAATTAGCTAGCTCGTACCATGTGACACTACTCAAAGTTTTACGAATTGAATCACTCTCCTGCCTAGCCTAAATTACTTGCAGTATAGGACTGTACCATTAGCATTTCTAATTAAATTACAAGCTAGTAGTGGATGCCGTACTATTGCAAGACTTGTGCTCAACTACCGGCACTGGTCCACGGCAAAGGCTAGGAGTATACGAGTATATTCTTATTATTTTATTTCACTACTCAAGTTTTATTTAATCACCCTTCTGCCTAACTAAATGACAAGCTAGTGGGATACCGTACTATTGCAAGACTTGTGCTCAACTACCGGCACTGGTCCACGGCTAAAGCTAGGAGTATACGAGTATATTCTTATTATTTTATTTCACTACTCAAGTTTTATTTAATCACCCTTCTGCCTAACTAAATGACAAGCTAGTGGGATACCGTACTATTGCAAGACTTGTGCTCAACTACCGGCACTGGTCCACGGCTAAAGCTAGGAGTATACGAGTATATTCTTATTCTTTATCCTTGACAAACTACACCATGGTTTTGCGGTAAAAATAAATAATTGCCGTCTGTGGCTAATTATTGTATGTTACTAATCGTCATAGTCTCCACACATTATAACAGGAACGGCTTGCTGTCATTTAAACCAACTTGGCAGCTAATTTACAGCCTGTCGTGTACAGTATAGCCCATAATTACCGATGGTCAGTATAGTTGAAATAACTAGCAAAAAAATCGGCCTCCATATCGTCAACGATCGTGTCCTGTCTCCCTTTCTCTTCTTTCGAGTAGTCCCTGATTGTAGTCAAGAAAGAGCACAGTAGGAATGACTAACAAGTACTATGACATTAATTTAACTTTTAGTCTGTACGTCTCACTTCTCTGTATACCACTTTTTAGCTGTCAGTATAAGTTTCTTGGTTTCTACACTATAATTAGTTTCTGGTAGTTTATAGTGCAATCTAACAGTGTAGGGAGTACTTGTACAGCAGTGTAAAGTCCAACCTTAAGGTAAAAAACTATGATGACTACAACTTACCTTTAACTGGTAGAGATTGATTTTCTGAGTATCGTTTCCAATTTCTATCGAAGATTGTTCAGATTGCAGTAACGACTATTATATAGGGAATCATTCACGCTCTAATTTGCTGTAGCTTATTTAAATAGCACATATATATATATAAGGAAAGAAGCAGTTTGATAGTCTTGATTAAGGAATAGTCTGATCAATATTATGGATCAAATTTTCTAGACAGTTTATTTGACCATCAAATAGTTTACAATATTGAAATGTAGTACAGTAGTTTGTAGTTATTCAACGTATGCTGACATACAAAATCTTTTCATGTTGTCGCTAATTGCCGCATTTGATGCATTACACTTTATCGAATCGCTATTGTAGTTTAAGTATCTCGTCATATTTCCTGCTTGAAATAATTAGTTTATCCTGGTCATTGTTGTTCATACTATAATTTCTTATCCACACCGATGTAATATAAAGCTCATCTTTAAATGAGGATTTGGGAACGGAATAATGCTATACCAGAATACTATTACATTCTAATTGTATTATTCTTCAATGTCGATAATGGAAAGACCATCAAAATCTTTCTTAGATTACATTTAAATTACCTTCCAATGTCGGTAATAGAAAGATCTTCACAGTCTTTCTTACATTCCATTATAAATTACTCTTCAATATCAATAATGAAAGGACTAGTAGCAAATCCTTTAACCATTCTAAAACACCCTTTAATATCGATAATAGAAGGACTAGTAGCAAATCTTTTTCTATGCTAACTTCCCTTCAATGTCCATAATAGAAAAGACCATCAAAGCCATTCTTACGTTCTATTAGAATGTAAGTTACCCCTTTTAATGACGATAGTTAAAGGATTAGTAGCAAATCTTTCTGCCATTGTAAATTACCCTTCAATGTCTATGAAGGATAAACTCATAGCAAATCTTACATTGCAAATTACCCTTCCATAATAGGAAAACTTGCAACAATTCTTTTTGACATCCTAAATGAATCTTCAAGTGTCGATGATTAAATAGAACGACTTGCAGTAAACCTCTGTTTTAGTTGGTAAATAATGCAATAGGATAACTATACCGTATGATGTCGCGTAAAACAAATTTTATGCATATATTGGTATATCCAATAATACTTATATGATGTACGGCTTTTAATTAAAGTTCGAAATTTTATATTCATTACCGTTTTCCTGATGTAATTTCTTAGCAGGCAGCTATCTCAGATAGTGCTGGCGTTAGTCCGCTACTGGAGTTGCTGTAAAAGTTGGAAGCGGAAGCGCTTTAATACTTTATGACAATCAAGTTTAACTTTCTATAGCATATGAAGACATTAGGTAGCAAGTATGGCTACTAGCAAGCCGCATTACGCATATAGTTACGCGTTGTCGCCTCTACCTCAAGAATCGGTACAAATTGTTGGGCAGCCGATCATGAGGCCACAACCACGTCCACCGCCGCCACCATTACCTCCACCAATGAATAATGCCGTTATCCTTCCAGTGCTACAACGACGTGAACATGGCTTGCGTGTTAACGAAGGAGATCGATTCTTAGCATATGCTAACCCTAGCGGAAATAATGTATATGCTAAATCACAAGCTCATCGCCTTCTTCCTCCGACTAGTGTGATGATACGCCCGCGTTATATGCCAGCTACTATCGGTAGTGCACCAGTAGTAGCTACTCCTGTTGCTCATCGGCCAATGCACCATGCAACTGGTGCAACTTCTCCTTCAGCTTATGGTTATTTGACAACGGTTCCAAGACCACAGATCTACCGACCAGTTATAAACGCTAACACTCGCATTGCTATGATGCCGGTTAATGGTCAGTACACCGAAGCAATCAGGAATGGGCTTGGGCCTTCTTATGCAGCTAATTCCAATCCTATCAATCCTTCCAACATGGTCTCACAACCACAACAGCAACAACAACAGCAGCGCTTACAATCAGCCCCTATCATGAACAACATTGTAAAGGAAAAAAATCCTCCAGTACGTAAAAAGAAGATTATAAGAATTACGGATCCAAAACAAGGCAATAAGGATGTTACAGAAGAGATCTTACAGAGCTCGTATTCCTCAGACGGTAACAATTAGCTTTTGTTAATAGTCCGAGAAATGAAGAAAACTTATACGGCTTATTGCATTCTACAAAAATCGACTACCTTATTTTGCAATATTTAAGTGATATCAAGATTTTCGCTTCTGTTGTTATCACAAGAACTCTTTTGCTTTGAATTAAGTACACTTGTGTATGAGAGCTCTCTACTTAAGAGATTAATGCAATGTAATGATAATATTTTAACAAAAACACCGTCCTAGAAACCATCAGTTGTGACCATTATATGTAATACCGAAATACATTACGTGCATGTATGGCTTTAAGAGGCACTTTCTGTCGAATAAGCATAATCTTGTGATGTTTAACAGCATTAGGTATTATACTTAGAAACGCAAGCTATTATTATTATAAAGTATAATCTTTACAAATCACTTCGGTTCTACACATCTCGTTGTGACAAATTCATATGACAAAGATATGAAAATGGTTACTACATTTTTACAGATCAAATACTTTTAAATTATCAAACAAGCTGTAAAACGTTGGTAAGAGCTACATTTTATATATATATTTGTTGAAAATGCGATCCAATTGTCCGGTTGTGTACTTATGGATAATAATTCTTTTCATGCTTGTAAGAATTTTCTTGTCGTGAAAGAAATTCTTATAAGGATAATATGTTATATAAATAAAGCCATTAGGCGTAAGGCAAACGTGAATTTACCGCGATGTTTATAAATTTGAGTAAAATATGCATGTTTAGTCTCTTGACATTAGCAGAGCAGCTAGAATAAATCAAGAGCAATAGCTGTCTTGTTCATAGGCAGAAGAAATACATCGAGAAAAATTTTTTGACGACGAAGAGACATTATGTTTGAAATTCGTTATTTCGCTGCAATACACATACAATACTATCGTCAAAGATGAAAATTATACTCCTACGATAGCTGAGTATCGATAAAATGAATTATTATCGAATAAGCTCATGATCTAACTTTCGACAAAGGAATGAGTTATATTCTTACGTAAGATATTATGCTCCATGGTTTTTCTCAATCTTTGGGAAATAAAGTTTAACCTTATTATTGCGAACGAATTATTTATCATTGTGGTTCTTACCATCGCACTCCATTCTAATTCTTGGAAAATCGAATCTTTAAGCGCTACTATCGGCTATCACCGATCTTTTACGTTGTCACTTCGCTATCGTTAAAATATTTAAAAATAACCTAAGTGGACGATAAGACTACCAAGAAAGTGATATTAAATAGCTTGATTCGATAAGCACAAGGATATCGGTTATTTTGTACAGTCGGAATTAACTTCAAACCTGTATCTCAAATGACACAAGCAGCTTATTTTAACCGCTTAAATTTTACCCCAAACCCAGACAGTATATAACTTATACAGGTTTATAGACAATGAAAGGCTCAGCGAGCAAATTCTGAACAACCTAATGAATAATCAATCGATGTCTTGTCGTTATCATTAATGATAATAACAATCTACCAACCACTGAAGCACAATCTTTGAGTTTTAAGAAAGATAGAAATGTAATTGTCGTATTTGCAATCATAATTTCATATATTTGTATTCAAAATCTCTTTATTTGTTTCCGTTAAGTAATCGAGTTGTATTCTAGTGCTTATTAGTTAAGAATTTTCTTTAATTCATAACGTGCTTGTAATTCATTGGATAATTTATAATTTAACCTAAGATATGCCTAGCGGTCGATTAGTATACCACGTAGTGATAATATTCAGAAATGACTTTTCTTTATTAACTGTAACATGGTTTCACAAGGTACTTTAAAATTTATGGATATCCACTTTATCTATTATGATTTCAGGAAAGATTGAAACAATGTCAATTTATGTTTATGTATTAGTTCGGGCAATTAACGGACTCATTGAAGTGGTTAAACTAGAGATTAGTTCAGATTTCAGGTAAGCAAGTGTTTGATAGTTTAAGGCAAAAAAACAGCAGTCATCTATTACAGCATTTGTTTCATACGAACTTATACTATTATGGCCAAAGCCGTACCATAGAATTATTAAACAAAAGTTTTACAATCTGTTGGAAACAATTTATGAATCAAATTCTCGTTGAACATAAAAAAATAGGACTCTTAACTTAAATAATACTCGCATAATATCTTTTGATAGACTATAACTATCAATCTGACAACATTCATTTTATTTACCGTACGACACTTAATATTCAAGATATTATCAATTGAGTAATAGATTGATTAGTTGCTTTACTGATAGCAATGGGAGATGAATAGCACGGAAAGGGAATCAAGACTAAACAAATGCTTATTCGTATTCAATGTACCATAATTGTCTGCATATTGAATTTAAGATTGGCTCCCTAATGTCACCCATTCTAATCTCTAAATTTAAATCACTGTATTAAATTCTTTATAAGTTCATGAGGAATAATTCTATCATATTATATTTCAGCTTTGTTATACTATGTTTGAATTCAAAATAACGATTCAATAGAAACCGATGGTACTGATGGATGTCAAACAAATCACATTCAGGCATCAATGATAAGTTCAGAGTCGATAGAAAATATGATTGTACGAATGAATGGCAGCACAAATAGTATTCAAGCTTTTTAATGGGAAGTATTTAAGCTGGTGTAATTTCTTGATTATATTATTTGCCTAAATCGTTTTCGTTATCTTTGCTATCAGCTATGGTATTTGAGTGCTCTAGCAATCACCGATCGCCTATCCAATGGATAGCCGTAAGGCAGATGCTTATTCTCATCTGCTTTGCACTATTTTTGCAGCCCATTGCTGCAAGATCTGAGTCTCGTTGCCAACTTACCGTTGTTAACGAGACCATAGCCTATGCGAACTTTGTTAAAGCAACGAGGTTATCGTGGAATCAGGTCCTATTTTTCAAGATTTACATTGGGGATCAACACCTTCAATTCATAGAGCATGGAGTTTTCTATGCGTGGGTAAAACAAGATCAGGGTGAGGCCATTTTTACTTTGCCATCTTATTATATAACCACTGGCCTTAGTATTTACACAGTTTTTACATCAAGTATGAAAATTAAACTGGTAGAATCAACTAAGGGATGCTTTAAAAACGCGACGGTCCTACCGAGTAAACCGATTATTTTATTCAAAACATTAATTAATTTTACTCGATTAACCAACAACTGTACCGGAAGGTATTGCGGTAATATATGCAGAAGAAGTTTCATGGCTACCGAAAGAACTGCTCATGAAGAAGTTCGATATTCATGTTGTGATTTAGATTTTCCAGGATTACCTGTAGATGTTCAACGATGTCTACTTCTTGAAGAAGTGAAATGGTATGCGCCATTCCTGAAATTCCTCATTATTTTTCTTACCATCCCAATGGGTGCCGCTCTGTTAGTTAAAATTTTCAATATGTACATGGGTACATTGGAGAGGTAAACGAAAGGAAAATGATTCTAACAGTAACGTGATAATTAATAGCCTCAGCTCTAATAAATATTAAAGTCTGTCTTATTACCTTATCGACACTATTTTAATTACCAATAGAAATACTTTTAATTGGAATGAATAAAAATTCTTAATAGTAGCGATTTCAAATTTATTTTTTTATCATTAAATGATGACGTAGTCGTTATAGATTAAGCAAGCAATATAGAAAGGAGCGAAATTGAGCTAGTCCAGTATTACTTTCTGTTAATATTGAGGCGACAGGATAGAGCCGTACTGTCTTTTTCACTTTACTGCACAGCTATTAAATATTAACTTAGCAACGGAAAGATTTGAATGTTTTGAATTTAAAATCATGACAACATCTCAAATTAAGCAAGTATCATATAGAATTGTTGATTCTGCCATATCTTTATATTTAAGTGCAAAAGTAGGAATGAATAATTTTCGATATGTGCTGTAGTTATTTCACAATCATGTTCTAGAGTATTTTTGGCGCATACCATAACAGCTAATTCGCTTTTTATCTCCTATTTTATGTTCGGTTGGATCTATTCCTTCCTAGAAATTTTAAAATGGATTCTGTTCATATCCATATTTTGAACACTTTACGGCTAGAGACTATCGAATACTTCTACGTTCAAGGTAGCTCAACTAGAGCATGTTGGAAACATGCCTATTACTGCTTCTTCTATTTAATCTTATGGCTCGCGCTAACTGCATTCGGTTATGCAGCCTTGGTGATGCAAATCTATCCATCAGCGTTTATGATTGTTCCAGAAATTTACGGTGTTGCTATACCGCCTTCTATAACAGCTGCTACCGTGCCTGCTGGTATATTACATTTATTTGCTACCATAATCATTATAATAACACACCTAAAGCAATTAATTTGCCTTCATCAACCTGAAAGGCAAGATAGAAGCAGACTTTTACCTCAAGATAGATATTTAGCGCCAATGAGCGCTGGGCGAACAAATTTACAATTTAAGAATATGATAACGGATTTGACGAAAAATTTATTATCATTGAAGATAGTGGTATTCTTCAATAATTTAATACAAGTTTTGGTCTATCTACCATTTTTTTTAACTAAATCAAGCACTGTCATCCCCATTGTGATATTTTTAACGGAGGTATTGACATTGCGCTTAAAATATCATCTTCTCCCTATCAACTCCAAATTGAAAGTACTGAATTGCATTCTGGCACCAGTTTTATTTTTGATAGCTTTCTGCTATTCTGTTATAACAGTATTCCAATTTTGGATTATTTTTCAAGCCTTCTTTCGTATTATCATTACTGTAACAACATTTATTATAACTTATTCCGTCTACTTTAGTGTCGCTATTGTTGTGATTATTCCGTATTTGTATGTCGTAATTGCCTACTTGGATGATTATACAGAAAAATTACACTCACTACCACTACTTATTATGAAGTTAGACTCAGCCGTGGAGCAGGAAGTTGATAAGATACTCAATGCAGAAAATGGAAAGTTAATAATTGATTTCTTAGTTGGTAGTAATAATGCTATAGAAGTTGATGTACCGGAAATGTTAAAAGGAACTGTAATCGAAATTACAATTCAAAACTATATACGACGTCTTGTTGAAGACCATAGATTTGAAATCAATGTTGGAATGTCCCAGATGGTCCTAAATTATAGAAGAGATGGCAATACAATTATTGAGGTAACACTACCTGAAAATGAGAACTATCCTATTCTGTGTGCTAATAGTGAAGGTAAAGATAATTTATTGACAGAGATTAGTGCACACTTACAAAATACCTCTATCGACACCCATCGTGAAAGATTAGTGAAAACATTTTATGACATTACAAGGATCAATAGTGCGCGTTATTCTGGGATTCCGTTAGAGCTTTTTCATTATTTACGGTATTACGCTCCTACAGTGTCCCTTAACTTATGGTCAGTTGTCGTAAACTTCCTGATTATTACAGGATTATTTCTGACATTTCTTTTAACGCTATTGCTTCATTCTCATTCCTGGTCTTTCACATCATTGACTACTGCTGCTGCTAACACACCTATCCTATTCATTGGTACTACTCTAACACTAAGATACTTCAAAATTCCTCTAGCAACCGAGAAAGAAACATCTGAAATACTATTAGCTAATCTGATACACTATAGAAGAGGCTATAGGTTATTCTGTACAAGAGGTCTCGAATATAAACCTTTGTCTAAACTAGTGAAAATTGCACTTACCGGCAAGAATATCTGACGTAAAAGCGCATACATTTACTAAGGTTATTATTCATGTTTGCAAGATTTAATGCTAGTTATTGTAACGACATAGGATTAGCATTGCAATTGGTAATAAAATAATTAAAGGCTATTGATCAGGGTCATATTGACTAGCTCTTATTTTAGCAGTCAAGCCTAGGCTCCGATCCAACAAATATGTCAGTTACACTTTAATTCAGACAATAAGAAATTATATCGACGAAGTAATGCTTTTTCATGGTAGCTGCAATACAGCTTATTCTGTAACAGTAGATTAATACATTGAATTAGCATTGCTATTTATAATTACGGTCCTGTCCTATTGATTAGTCTATCTAGTAATTAATCACAATCCAATCTAGATTATTGTTCACAATTTAGCCCTAGATAATAAGATCATCCGATCATTCTGTTAAAGTTAAATTTCACAGTATGTTGAATTACCTTGGATAGAATAAAATAAAAGGCATTTTACCATTAATCAAATGTTGGAAGGTTAATATAATATTGTGGATGCTGGTCTTAAAAGATTCTAACGACATAAAGAAGGTTATAGTTTACCTAGTCTCTACAGTTTAATCTTTGATAAAGGATTAGGCCATAAACATCATTTTGTAATTGAAAATAACGAAATTACTATCCAAACCCATTATCCAGAATTTTTATTTGCTGCTACTCGAATAATGACGATCCATTCCTCGTTTTGTTAGCTAAACTAATAGCGATAGTGTAAAATAATATAATGACAAGGACTATGAACAGTCTAAGTAGACACAGGTAGTAAATAAATAAACTGCATGGGTTTGTTATTTATCAGTGCATTAAATCATGATCTCTGATGAAAAAACAAAATAACAATTTCCCGTATTGAGTCACTACGTTACAAGCATCTAAAATTAGATAGAATATGAATTTAAGCATTTCTGTCAATGTCATCTAGCATATACATAACCGACGGCACCTATTGAATAAACATTGTCTATTTCCTGGATAATTAATAGTAATTTAGTTTAAAATTGATAACATAAGCACTCTGTCCGATAGTCTTATTATTTACAATCTAATTAGGGATGTTAATGAAAGGAATATTATCTATCGGTACCAGTAGCTTTTTTTACATCTAATTGAGTTTCAGATAAAGTAATAAGCCACCTATAAACGCTTGCTGTACTTTCTTTTAATATGGATAATCCGTTGTTTGGATAGCGTTAAAACTCTAACTCCAATAAGGTGTGCCATAGCAGAGAGTTTATTTATTATACGATTTCCTTGCGAATTTTTATATTAGTACATTGTGTTTCTTTATAGCAAAAACAGGATAATATCGCTGTTAGTGGAACATAAAATATGGATAACGATTCATACTTGTTTTTTCTATGACATGAAATAACATCATAAATCGACATAGGCCATCTTCGGTTTATTCCCTATCGTTTTCAAATTCTTTTGGATTATCGGAAACTTCTTACTGTATTAGATCTCTTTAACAAGATTGTAATGATGGACTTATTTGATTTCATTAATTTTAAAATATTTTTGATTTTAATTTGGCAGTAATAGTATTGACGTGGCACTGTAGCATTAGTATCTTACCATAATTATTCTTCTTAATTTGGAAGTTATTAGAATTGCCTAGAATAGATTGTAAGGCTAGAACTAATTTGTCTAATGATCTGTAATGATAGATTAGACTGTAGCCTTGCTGTAGCTAGGCAGATTAGATATAGAATGAACGATTCAGAATAAAAGGTGTATTTCCCATAATTGAATAGCGCAGTTTCGGTGTACTTTTTGCTTTTACGTAAACTTTTAAAAACTCCACTTTTACAAAGATTATATTGCCAATTTACTATAACTGCCACTATATTCGCATCTACCCCGTTCAAATTATAGTTGAATAACTATCTATGATGATCGAAAGAAAGCAGGTGATTAATTGATCTTTGAAAATTGAACAGATTCTAACGTAGGTGTGTAATCTTAATATCTAATTCTCTTTTAAGGTGAATGATTCCTAACTAAGCTATCATGGCTAATAGTACAGGTTCAAGGAGTAAAATAAAATCTTTTCCAGTCTCCAAAATGTTTGTAATGAATACAGTCTGTTACAGTATATGACACTAATATATTGATGTCTATCATAAAAGTAATGGTAAAAAATTTGTTGTATAGACTAAGCCACTAAGAAACTTCAGCCGACTAGGCCTTTCGCTTCCTGCCCATTTCAAATAAATTTAGAATAACACCCACATAATCCATGTGATTAGAGTTCAAATTAGTCATCAACTGATGGAGTAAACTTCCAGTAAGAGAGAAAAGCCTTTATTAAAAATTGCCGCCGGTAGTGATTTATTCATAACAAATCAGGGAAGATTGGTACTAACAGGATCTGACCACAATAGTGTAAAACAGAAAAACTTTTATGCAAATTAGAAGTCATAGATCGATCTTAGTTAATTGTTAAATTACTGAAAAGAGTTCTTATTTACTTTCATATCGGCGGTAAATTTTCTATTACATCACATAGACATAATAATCATCCATTATTTGTGTACAATATTATTAAATCAATAGAAAATTATTCAGTCGAGATCGAGATTTAATGCTAATAATGAAGTTAACAATAAGTGATTTTCTTCATGTAATGGAATTATTGATTTAGTGATCAGTAGGATAAATAGCAATAGGAAGCGAACGGTAAATTACAAGATATAACCTTACTAACAAGTAAATTTTAGAAGGTGCAAGGTATACAAAGATAGCATCAAGTCTAAACCGATAGAGTGATGGCATACTTTCTTTTTAGATTCTATTGGATAACACTATTTTGGATTATCTCAACTTTTAATCAAGTTTCCACTATCGACGAAGACCCCAAGAAATGTGTGAAGGAATGTCAGCTACAAGTTGAAAACGAGGCACAGTCCTACCTCAATTTTAGTAGAATTGTCAGAGTTTCATCAATCCGTGTGGTTTATTTCCACCTGCAAAAAGGAAATAATAGTCTTTATAATTCGGCACAGAATATCTTCTATGCATGGATTAGAAAAGATGTTGGCGAAGCAATTTTCGCCTTGCCTACGGATTACATGAGCACCACTTTGAGTTTAACGTCAATTTTTACCTCCAATTTAACCATCTATCTCAAAGAAGTTAACCAAAGCTGCTACGATGCATCATCTCTGGAATGTAAACGGCACATTATTTTCTTTACCTTAGCAAAGTTTGTTCGATTGCTAACGATGCACAATTGCACTGCTAAAAATTGCGGTACTGTGTGTAGGAGGGATTTTAATTCGGAAATCGATGACAACTCTAGTTCTACCTATTATTCCTGTTGTGATGACGATACTATAGAATTGGAAGTAGATACTAAGAAATGCTTAGAGCCTAGATCAGTCAAACCGTATGTCAAAGCTATGAATATAATTACAGCTATCATCAGTATTCCGATTAGCGGAGCATTACTGGTTAAGATTATCAATAGAGTCATGAACGCTTTAGGAAAGTAAGTCTAATCTGATAGATAAAATAAATGGATATAAATTAAAAAAGATTTAATTACAGTAAATACGAAGGTGAATAAATTATCATTTAATTTCATAATACAAGCTATAGTTTCAATCGCTCTTTCGAAATTAATTAAATCTTAGTCTACTCTATCGTCACTATCTTGACAGATTACAACTATAGTAAATTTCATTTTCATACATGAGTATACTTTGACTTTTTAATTTATTCGTATCTTACTCCATTGATGACCATGTCATTTCAACCTTCTAACAGTATATTTGCTCAGTACTGTTGAAGATATAATACGAATATCGAAAGGTTTTTACAACTGTAACTAATTAATTTAAACTGCTGTATTTGTCAATCAGTTTGATAATCCGGCAAGTTCTCTCATGATAATGTTCAGCAAAGTAATCTAATTGTAAATTTTTATAATAAAGTTCCAGTTGCTCTTATTGACTCTCTTTTTCATTTTATTTTGCTGCAGAACAACTGAAGTTGACGGTCAGAAAATTCGTATCCTAACATCACTAAGATTTCATCCTATTGGGTATTTTTATTTACGGAAATTGGTAAAAAATAGTCTTTGGGTACAACTTTGGTTTTGCTGTCAGTTCATTGCTGTATCAGCAATTGCATCCGGTGGATCTACTTTATCTATTCTAGTACAAGCTTATCCACATTCTATTTTAATTTATCCTGGCATTCGCAATAGGAAGATACCCGATCGTGCTTCCTTGGCTAGTTACATCGCCCTTGGTATTTATGCCACTTGTACATTTTTTGTTCTCTTCCCGCACATCCAGCAATTTTTTGGCCAGTATTATCCATATCTATCGCAGCAGCAGGATGAAGTTACAATTTTATCGTTCAAGTTCTTTACTGAAAACAGCCATCGCCAGTTACATTTTCAATTTAAAAATTGCATCAAAGATATAATACGGTACCGAAAGTTACATCGTTATACCGCTATGATGCAGGCGATATTGTCATTTCTAATAATATTGCCATTTGCTATTATGGCTAGAATCGAAATTATACGCATTATATTATTTATTACAGATACGTTAACATTACATTTAAGATGTAGCTTTCTGTCAACTGCTTCAAAGACAATCGGATATCGATTATTATCGTCTTTTTTCTTCATTATTTCATTGCTGTATTCGTCACTGACAATTTTGGGAATGTGGTTATTAACTCAACTCATTATTCGCATTGTTATTACCGTGGCAGAATTTGTTATTGCCCATTCCATTTACTTTAGCGTAATAACAGTTATTGTCGTTCCTTACTTTCACTACGTTATTAAGGCTATGGAGGCGTATGATAGCAAAGGTCATATGCTACCACAACGAATTATCCAAGTACATGACAGAGTTGAGAAAGAAATTGACGAGCTACTTGAACAAACCGAAGGCAAATTAGAAGTCTATTTTAAATTGGATGATAATGCTATCACTGATAATGTCATTATTGATGTGCCGGAAATGTTGAAAGATGATTGTATTCAGAAAAAAATTCAGGATACGTTAGAGGAACTAATAAGAGATGGCACAATCGTCTTAGCACACGGAATATCTAAAGTTATATTTCAGTACGAAAAAACGTCAAGTACGACAATGCTGATAACTTTGCCCCAGTGCAATAATAATTATCTCTCTTGCCATCGTAAGAGCAACAAATTACAAAAACTGGCTCAAGACGTCGGTATTCACTTGAAAGGTTTAACTGAACAAGAATTTCGTAATAATTTAACTAAAATTTATTACCAAATGGATGATATTGATGATCTTGTCTGTACCGGAATCCCGGCAAAATTGTTCTCTTATCTGCGGTACTATGCACCTGAAATATCTCTTAGTTTACCTCGAGTATTTTTCAATATTACTATCACAACTGGTTTATTTATCACATTTATATTAACCGTTGTAGTTGATTCAGATTCACCAACGGTATTCTCAATCAGCTCTGCAGTTGCTAATGCACCCATTATCTATGTGACAACGACCATTGCCCGGAAATATTTAACTATAGCTGAAATCAAGCAAGAAATGATTGATAAAATCCTAGTGAATAATATCGTTCGATATCGTCGAGGTTATCGATTTTTTTGTACCCGAGGAATCGAATTTCATCCGTTTTTACAACTAAAGAGTATGTTTACAACATATCCCAGCAGTGCAGGCGTAGATATTGAAGCTAATCAGGCGCAAGCAAAGATAAATGTAGCCAATTTCTAGCTTGAACCTAAGCTGTTATGGTACGTGAAAATAATTGTGATGCATCGGCATTCTCTGGCATATTCTTTTACAATTTTAAGTGTGATAAAGGATTCGATAAGTCAATGGCAGCAGATTTAACTGCCATGTAGAGAAATGCACTAGGATTTTAGTAGAAAAGGATACTATTATTGAAGACTATAATTGCGTACAATGTCGTAGTTACGGTAGAGCAGCGTGTAAGGCTGTAAGCTATTGTGAAGTGAGAAAACAAATAAAGTATAACAAAATATATAATATAATGTTAATAAATATAATAAATAAATGAGTATATAATGAATATAAAAAATATAATGAAATAACCTAGCCATGATTACTTCAATTCATGAAGCCATAGCTTATATGCCTATCGTTTTTTTTAGCGACGAAGACAGCCTTAAAATATTGAACTATATCTGAAGCTCAGCCAAAAAAAGCTCATAAGGTCGTACTGACTAACATAGTTCCATATAGCCGAGGTTATCGATTTTTCTGTTCCCGAGGAATTGAATTCCATCCTTTTATACAATTAAAGAGAATCTTCAAAACATCTTACAAATATTCAATATAACTTAGCCAATTATGCATATTAGTTTTCTCGTAGCTATTGAAGCGTTGACTTACCGTACTTGCTTAATTCTAAATACACAATAATAATAGACATAATGCTACGAATTAATAAAGTTTCAATTTTTGCTACAGTAGTTTCCAGATTCCGAATTCGGTTATCATATTTCTTGCTAATGTTGATTTAGATCAGTCGGAAAAAACACTATCTCACTATCAAAGCTCTATCTTAAGGATAAGCTTTAGCTACTAGTGACAAGAAATTTGATCATTTTGAATCTATTAACTAACTTTTCAGAGAATATCAAAAGATAGACGCGTACTAATTTGTTTTTACTTGTCTTAAATATTAAAAATACTGAATGAAACTAAATCGGATTTTAGTACCGTATTTCGTTATCCTAATTCATAATTAGTTGTGACTAAATTATCTTTCAAAGATGAATTAATAAAAAATCTTAATTTCATTATTGCATTGCTAAGCTAACTAAGTACTTACATCAAGTATAGGCAAACAAATCAGATCCTTCATTTGGTAAGAATTTGCCTACATAACTGCAGAAAGTTTTACTTAGATACATATATTTACATACTTATTGTTAAACTGTACCAGTAATTGTGATATCCTGCTACTTAAAGTCTTTTATCTTATGATTGCTATTAGTAATAGGACTAATAAGACATAAAATAGAAATAGTCTGGTACAAATAATGGTGGAAAAATCGTGGAATAAAGCGTCATAATGTAATATATGATCCTTTATGTTAATCGACAATTTTGCAATACAGATTCTGAGCATGTACTAAATCAGGTCTTATGCCTAGTGTGCCAATCTACCTTGGCAAAATTGTCCACTTTTCAGCATCGTTTGATATTAGGGATCAACGATAGCATTGATTCACATGAATAGTATGGAAACCAAATCTGATATCATTTTCTTTTAATTTGTCGACCTATTTTAATAGATTGAATGGTTTCACAGTGATAATTTATCTTGTAACAGGGACTCCTAAATGGCGTCACATTTCAATTTACAGTATATTAATTAATACATAATAAGTCAAAATTATATAAATAGTTACAGGCACCAATTATTAGAATTAAATTATCGAGAATTGATAAAAAAATAAGTTAATAGCGTAGATCAGCAAAGATATTGCCGTTACTAATACCCGAAGTTAGCAAAATCGTTTGAGTCATGATCATCATCTACAGATACAATATCAAGAACTTGATCAAATTTCTGATGAAGAATATTGTTTCTGTATCATCGCTACTAACAAGTATTAAGTCTGTAAATGCTATGCTTAAATGACACTGCATACGGTATATTAAGGAGCAGTTTAAAAGTAATTTAATAGGGCAATGAACGGAAAATACATTTAATTCTTAGCGAATGCGTGGTGTTTACAACTGCCATGTTGCTACCATTAACAGCTATAATAAATGTCGTATTTCATTGATAAGAGAAAATAGGAATTTGACAATTTGTCAAAGGCTGACTTAAAAGGCCCCCAAAAATAAGTTCTTCTTAGTCAAAGTAAGCACTACCTGACTACTAGTTTGTTGTCGATGTATTATTTACGAAATCAACAAAATTTGGTTTAATAAAATAGCTAAAATGAGAACGGCAGCCCTTGTCAATAATTATAAAATGACATAGAGAATTATATCATTTTAATGCTAATTTTTTGTACTTCATTATGCACGATTGCTAAATAGCTATGGTAACCTAATTTAGTCAAAAATAATATCGCTTTTTATAAATTATGTAATCAAAAAAATAATCGAAAAATCATTCAGTTATTTCATTAACACTTCAAAGATAATTACATCCGTTTATGAAATTGTCATGATGTGAAATATAGCTTCTACAAAATGCCTAATTGCTGAACAAAATAAAAAGTCTAAATGACTTTGACGTCATTGTTATTAGTAATCATAATATGAAAGAGGAACTTAATAACAATCATATGATTGAATGCATTATGCAATTTACGGTAAATGTGAATGGACCAAAATACGCTGAAATTTTCCTCAGATAATGAGAATAAATCAGTCATTAAATTCTTAAAATAGTATGGTTCAGTTCTAATATATTTCATATACTTACAGTAGTAATTAAGCAAAAGAAGCCTGTTGATTATTGGATAATTACTTTATCTTTCTTCTTTATCAGAGTGTATTTTCCAATCTATGATAGAAAAGGATCTCGGATATCTTAAAATGCCACTAACGGATATTTTATTCCAACTTAAATTATAGCAAAGCGCAAACATTGATTGATTATTATTGTAAATTTGTAAAACTAGCTCGAGTAATTCTTGCCAAAAGATGGTGGAGCTCAAGAATAAAAACATGGACGGTGCTCTTTCATCTTTTACTAGAAAGATTAAGTTATGTTGAATCATATCCTACCCTATTATCTACGATATGAATAGCAATATTTTTTAAGTACGCTCAAGCCTTTGAATTTAAAGAAAGAAAAAAATATGAATAATTTGGGTTTGCTAGTGGATTAATAGAAGATAAAGCTTTTAATAAATAAAATATAGAAAACCATGAAGAATTTGAATAGATAAGCTGTAGGATATATCAAGCGAATTTTTCGTTCGGGATATCCGTTTCTATTATATTCAATGTTTGTTTATATTTTTTGTTTGGAGCACAATCATTTAATTACTAAGGCTATAAATTAACTCTATAGATTTGAATGCCTGTGATCAACATTCTTATCCAGCAGGATTGGTATAAATTTAAATTTATGGTGAAGCAGAAGGCATAAATACTGTCGAGTTAGCGCAGTGAAAAAAAGTTTAAGAATAAATTCTATCAATATTGAAGTAACTCACTTTGATTACTGATAATCAACTAGGTATTTTCTCAAGTTACAGTGTTCCTTGAAATGATGGCTCTGTCTATGCATAATTTGTCCATGTTCACTTGCGTATCGATCTTCTGGCTGTTTATATCCTTCCACCTTGTAGTATTGGAAAGGGTGGAGACTGAGTGCCATTCCAATTGTCAATTGAGCGTACTAAATGAAACTCGAATATATCATGATTTCAGGAAGATTATTAAATCTCCATCGGTTCGAGTTGTATTTTTTCATCTTTATAAAAGAAATGGCAATGACCATCTTCGAAGTTCAGTCCATGAAAGCCCTATTTTTTATGCATGGTTAAGAAAAGATGTTGGAGAAGCTATTTTCGCATTACCTACTGATTATATTACTACAAGCTTGAGTATTTATGCGATCTTCTCATCGGAATTGCGAATTAATATCACAGAAGCTAGTACTGACTGTTACAGTAACATCACCACTGATTTATGTCGAGGATTAACTATATTTAAAGTTCTGAGCAAAGTATTTCATTTAAATTTGAAAAAGAACCAGAATTTTTCGGAGATACCTTATGGTACTCTATGTAGAAGAAATTTTACTATCCAAGGAAATTCTATTAGTAGCGTAGATTACTCATGCTGCGAAAATGAAGACCTTAGTGATGATATCAATTTTGATAAATGTCTAACCCCTCAAAAAATACTTTGGTATGCGCCACTAATGAGAATATTTACTATCATCCTAAGTACTACATTGGCAGGAATAGCTTTGACTAGGGTGGTTAATATGTATATCGATTCCTTAGAAAAGTAAGTACTATAACATCAATAATTTTTATAGTGTATGTGATAAACATGCTTCTTTTCTGTACAATAATCACACAGAACTCGTAGCAAATAGAGTTGACAGCAAGTTCTTGTTTAAAACTTCTACAACTGTTAAAAGATGCAACACAATTTCATTTCTGATGGAGTCAAATCACTCTGTAGAACTTTACCGTTTAATTTTTAAGTCTATCACTGTGTAATAAAGTACCAGACTAAACAATATTCTTGAATAGAGTACAGTAATCTCCATGTATAGCTTTTAAAGCAAATTCAATATTAAGATTGGTTCTTAGCCTGTCATTTTCTTTTGATAATTCAATTAATAGTTACTAGCATACAACCTTCTCGCTTCTACACAATTCCACTACTAAAAATTTGAAGATCTTTCCTTGTCTACTGCAATTTCGTAAACACATTTGTGAATAACTTCTAGTCAATACCTTATATTTTATTTCTATCCTACTCGCTATCAATTTAGAATATTTAGCATAGATATTATATTTCCTTTACAGTTCTTTTTTTTTTATAATTATATAATTCTTTCAATATAACTCCTACTTTCTACATGATAGAGTCTCACTCTATCTTCTTATACAATGTGAATTTGCATCTTATACTATTTATATGACTTCTTTTTCACTAGTTGGACCCTATTTTTCCTTTCACCTCAATTACTTGCTTGCTAATTTCCTTATTAAAATTACCTTACCACAATCCATATGAAGTTATATACCGTAAAGTCACAAGAAGGAACCTATAGCTTAACTAAACATTTGATATTCAAGATAACTACAATATTGCATTTTAAAGCGTTAAAGCGGTGATCATAAACTAATGATACTCACTTTACAAGCAATTTGCTAGTTAAGAACTGATCGAGAATATCCTATAACAATTGTATATTATGGCTAAAGCTATGGTATTTAAGTTAGTTTTAGTGGTTCTTTGATGGTATTTAGAATTTTTGGAAAAGTGTTCTTTAACTAGCATTTAGCTATTAAAGATCCAAAGGCGATATCTGCATCTATTTAGATCAAATTTCGGTCTAGATATACAGTCTAAAAGTATAATTTACAGTTTCAGGTAATACTTAGTTTTTAGTGCTGCACATAACAGAAAATTCGTAAAAGTATTAACTTGATGGTAACTGATGGTGTGATTTTAAAGTGCGAAATCTCTGCTCTTAATAGCAAATTTATGTCTTTGCACTATAGAAAAGCGGAAATTGATTCAGTAAGCGTTTCTATTATAAACCGGTTAAAGTTGCAGACAGCCGGATACTTTTATCTTCGAGAAAGTACAATTAGCAATCGTTGGGTACAAATAGAACATGTCCTGATGCATATCGTTTTGTTCTTTCTTGCTGCTTTTGGAGGATATGCATCTGTTGTAGCACAGATCTATCCACCTATTTTCATGGTTTTTCCCTTCATCGGTCATCTATCAGTGCCCAAGCCAATAGTGTTCAGGTATTTTGGTGTTGGTATCTTACATGGATTGTTTACAATAATCATAATTGCGGCTCACCTAAAAGAATTTTGGTTAACCAATTCGTTAGCGTATCAACTAAAACGAGCTTCTCTAACTACACTCAATTATAAAATCTTAATGCGAAGTAATTATAGCCAGTTGCACTTTCAACTTACAATTCGTATTAAAGACATAATAAATGATTTGAGATCTTTCCATGTGATAAAATTTATCAAAAGCTTCTTGACATTTATAATTTGTTTACCTTTCTTTATTTTCGGTGCTATCGAACTTTTACGAATAACATTATTTATCTCTGAAGTGCTTGCAATTAAATTGAAACGTAACTTTCTCTTTACACATTCTAAACATCGTCATCTTAATTCTATTATGTCTGCTATCTTATCTCTCGTAGCTCTAACATATTCTGTTTTTACGATAGCCGAATTTTGGCTTTTTTTCCAAGTCATTTTCCGTACCATTATTAATGTAACAACTTTTATCGTCGCCCATTCTGTTTATTTTAGCATTACTATTGTCGTCGTGATACCTTATGTACATTATATTATGAAACTGATTGACTCTTATAAAAAGAAGGGAAATATGCTTCCTAGGTATATCATCCATTTACAGCAAAAGGTAGAATCACGAATTGATGATATCTTAACTGCTAAACAAGGAAAGTTAGAAGTCTATTTCTTCATCTCTGGTAGTATTGATAATCATATAATAACAATCGATTTACCGGAAATGTTACAAGACGATAGAATAGAACAACATGTACGACAATATTTACAACAGATTTTGTTACAAACTGGTTATGGATTATCTGATGGAATATGTAGAATTGTATTTCAATACAGTATAAATGATAATGATACTGATGTCGATGTAACATTGCCTGAAGACTACAATCACTGTCTATTTTTCACGGATAACGCCAATCTAACCGGGTTATTAACATGCATTAGTCAACATCTACAAAGTAAGAAAGCAGGATACTTTCAAGCAAAGTTAAGTAAAGTCTATTACAAGATCCATAATATCGGTGATAGTCAATGCATTGGAATTCCATCAGAATTATTTGGCTATTTACGATATTACGCACCTGAAGTATCGTTGAGTCTGTGGCAAATTTTCTTTAACATCATGGTTACGACATGCATATTTTTGGCATTTATTTTGGCAGTATTATATGACTCAAAATGTTGGTCATTTACATCGTTAAGCTCAACTATTGCCAATACGCCAATCGTCTATATCGCTACAGTTCTATCTTTGAAATATCTTAAAGTAGCCGAGTCTGATGAAGAAATAACAAAAGAAATGTTATTAGCTAATTTAATATTATACAGAAGAGGCTATCGATTATTTTGTAGAAGAGGTATTGAATTTCAGCCTCTTTCACAAATAATGCAGATATTCTATACTAATCCTAATCCTCGACGAAATTCTGATTTATTGGGATATAAGAGCGTCAGTTAAACATTCATCAGTATTCCGAACTTATAGATTTTAATTTGGTATGTCTATACTAATTGGTTAGAAGATATCCTGTACATGTATTAAACAAATGTGTCTAGCCAATCATTAATGCGATGGAATATTGTAGATTGTTTTTCAACTATTCAATGCATCGTTCAAAAAATCGTAAATCAGCACTAAATTACTGGATTAGGTGCGATCATTCCATCTTAGTACTATGATTTTTTGCTTATCTTCCGAGATGGTCAACCCTAAATGTTCATTATGGATAACTTAATGGTTGTAGTAGTTCAGCTAATTACAGTAGTAACTGAAGTACGGTAGCATTTAGAAGTAATCTTTTATCATGTTAGAGATTTGCTCAATTTTAATAACTCAGATTTTGAGCTAGACGATTACGAACCTAAGGGATTGTAAAACCCAAGCACTACAGTGGTTTCAATAGTTTAAACTACACGACTAGCGGCTATTATTCCACCTAAGTACTAAGATTTTCTGCTTATCTTCCGAGATGATCAACCTTTAAAGTTTAATTTTAGATAACTTGGATATCACATTAAGGATTAGCCCTAATTTTAATAGCTTAAAATTTATCGAATTTTGAATCTTAGGGGCTATAAACTTATTTATTCCACATCTATACTAGCATTGAAGTAAATTAAGTAATGGTATGGCGGAGAAACTAATTGAAATCAGTATTTCTGTCATTTGTAAGCCTTCTTTACATACAATAAAAATGTCAGAATTCGTTCAAAATTGTTGAAACATATGAGATATTGAGTACTTGAAGTCTCTTTAAATAGTTGGGCAAATTTCTGTTTATTTTTTACATGTATTTTTAGTTGCATATTGTTGATTTAGGTTAGCTCAATTTTCTGCCAATAAATGAAGTGATTAAGCCTAAGAAATCATCTATTCGTATGTTTCAAATAGTTAATGGGTATCTTAAGATAAACACAAATGAACTCCCTATCAATATAGGCGTATACCATATAGGCGTACAACAAGTTCGTTTGGTAGAAATAACTACAAACACAAATTGGACACGGTACTAAGCTGGTGAAGTTCCAATATTTATAGCAACCATGCCTGTTTCACATAGATAATTGGAATGATATGAATAAGTTCGAATTGGACACCTTAACAGTATAGAAGGCGTATACTTTATCCTGTTAATAAGCTTACTTGAAAGAAATAGTCACGAACACAAAGTTTTTATAAAGGGTGCAGGACTAATGTTCTGTATCTAAAAGATATCAAGCAGTGATATCAATCCTCTGAATCGTATTAATGAACACTGCTAATATACAACAATAACAGCTGCTATAGACCAGCCTGTCCAACCCTCTTCAGAAGAAATAAGCGCAGCTTTGTACAACGTATGGATAAAATTGGGTTTTATATCTCTCGCGGGAACATTTCATGTTGTGAAAAGGAAGAATCCAATTCTAAGATCAATGTTAGTTCGTGTTTAAACCCTGCAAATAGCGGATAGTGCATACTATACCTGAGGATATTTACCCTTATTTTAAGTACTGCATTGGCTGCAGTAACACTGGTAAAAGTCATCAATATCTGTTTAGAAAAGTCAGCGAGGTAACGTTGCAGAACTCATTAGAACATGCGTGATATTGAAATGGTAAATTAGCGTTAAGGCTTGTGAAATTATAAAATACTTCTTGCTTTATCAGTTATTTAGTTTATATCGCAGCAATATAGTCTATTGCATGCTTACATGATATTGCTGCATCTATTCGGTGTTGATTAGCCAATGGTATTCCTTTTTACCCGCAATATCTTTTATATTTCTCTTGTAGGGTAACGGAAATTGATACAGTCAGCATTTCTGTTATGAGTAAGCTGAGATTACAAACAATTGAATATTTCTGTCTTGGAGAAAGTGAGCATGGTAATCTCTAGCTGAATGGTGTTAAACGAAATTTATGTGTATCTTGATTTTTATTGGATCTTTGGAATTATTCATTTCCATCACACTATAACTATTACCCTATTTGTCAATTATCACATCTATTCGAAGATTGCCATCAAAAATTAAGTATGACTTTTATCGTATTTTGGTTAGTCATCTTATTTTAACATTAATAATAATGCTAGCTCGTGTAAGACAATCCTGGCGAACTAACTCGTTGCAATATCAACATCGGTATCATTCTCTGTCGACATTAAATTACAAAATCTTAACTAAAATGAACTTCGGGCAACTAAATCCACGGTTTATAAATTATGTAAGAGATCTTACGAATCATTTAAAATCTTGAAACTTCTTAAAATCTATTAAGAGCCTACTTACGTTAATAATTTCTTTGCCTTTTTTATTTTCGGGGCTCTGGAACTTCTACGAATTCTATTATTTCTATGTAAACTTCTAACAATCACACTAAATCGTCAATTCTTATTTATAAATCCTAAATTTAAATATATTAATTATATTTTGATACCCATTTTATTCTGCATCGCATTATTTTATTCTATAATTACCATAATCCAGCTTTGGTCAACATTTCAATTGATATTCCGTATCATAATTAATGTAGCAACATTTCTTTTCGCCTATTCTGTTCATTTTAGTTTTGTAATTGTTGTTTTTTGCCCTACATACACTAGGTTACAAATACGATCGATTCTTATATAAGAAAGGAAGAAAAGCTTCCTGAACGTATTGTCCAATCACGAAAAAATGTATAATCACAAATTGACCAAATATAAGCCGCTAAGCAAGAAACATTAGAAGTCAATTTCGTCGTTTCCGATAATATTCATAATCCTATAATAATAATAGATTTACCCGAAATGTTACAAGATTATCAATTAAAACAACATATTCAACATTACTTTCGACAACTTTTGTTGCAAAATAATTATGAATTTATAAACGGAATATCGAAAGTCATATTTCGATATGTTACACTGGATAATGATACTGTGAAAGTCACATTACATAAAGATTATGACAATTACCTATAAAAAGTAGACAGCGATGCATTAAATTAATTATTAACATGTATCAGCCAATATTTACAGATTAATAAAGTAGAAGATTTTCATGCAAAGTTAAGTCAAGTCTACTACGAGATTGCTAATATCGAAAGTATCGAATGTGTCGGCATTCCATCAGAATTATTCGATTATCTACGATACCATACACCCAAAATATCGTTGAATCTTTGGAAAATTTTCTTTAATATTAGCATCACTACTGGTGTTTTTGCGATATTTCTATTAAGAGTCGTACTAGATAGATTCCAGCGATTGGTCATTTGCATCATTGAATGCGGCAATTGCTAATACATCAATAGCTTTTATCGTCACAAGCTTTTCCTTGAGATATCTTAAAATAACTGAAACCGAAGAAGAAACAGGCAAAGAAATATTATTGTCAGCTTTAGTTCAGTATCGAAGAGGTTATCGATCGTACTGTAGAAGAGATAATGAATTTCAGCCGATTACTCAAATGGTAAGAACGGCTTTTCATTATCGTAGTCGTCATCATCGAAGAAGTTATAACCAGTTATTAGACTCCTTTGTGATAGCTTAGGCATTAACTTGCACACGTGCGGATAAACTCCTATGATATACTTTCAAACCTGGATTATAAACTTGCTAATTTCGCTGAACTTATAAACAAACTATATCATTGTCAATCCATATACATTTATACGAATGCCAAATTGTAACTACTAGTAACAACTATTCTATTACTATTTACCATCGTTGAATCTTCCTTTTCTATAAATCACCAACACCAGTTAAGGATAAAATTGTTTTGATTACATCATAAAAAGGGTTCATGGTAATCAATTACAATCAAGAATAGTAGAACAAGTAGCACTCCTTGTTAGCTATTTCTCGAATTATTTATCTCTCTCGAATTCCTAAGTATCTCTGTTTCTACTACAGCTATCTATTTACTTTAACGTCATAAACATTTGTCCTGACATAAACAGGTCTTATATTTCTATAGTATCCTAAATTCCAAGTTCGCAGAAATCAGGAGATCTCATATAAATTATGTTTAGACTCAGTCATTAACATTCACACACAATAACTTGTTACACTCTCTGTTTTTCATTATAATTAATAATCGCTATAAATGACGTAATTTGTGGAATTATGCTTTATAGTCTATTTGGCGGTATTCCGATTTAGCAACTGAATTACTGTAATAAGCAGTTACTGCAAGTGCATAATTGTGTTGGTCACAGAAATTTTTGTTATTCTGTATAAGTTAGTACGGAATTTTGGGCAATGAGCAGTATCTGTATTTGAATTATACATGATGATTATATCGGCAATGGTCCCCTTTCTAAATAAGACTGAACATACGATTCATGCGGTACTTTTCTTTATCGCAGACTTGAAATTGTGATAGCTTCTCACTCTATCACGTTAGCTAATTGTTGATTAACATTATTAACTGTAAATAATTTGTAACTATTGCCGTTGTATTATTGAAGAAAATGTAACAGCAATTACTGTTAATAAATGCGCTTTATAGTGTTATATAGTTATTTGACTGAAAAATTTTGTCAATATTATTATTGTATAAGTAAAGAAAACGTAATAGTAATCTCTGTAATAGAGACTGCAAAATATGCTTTCAATAGTTGTGAAAATTTTGAATTCAAAGGTGTGTAAATAGCCGTGAATCTACATCAGTGAGCCTGTAAATAATAAAGGTTAGGTATTTTGCGATGATAGAAAACAGGACCTTGTTACAAGATTTAATTACAAGCTTGTAATATGAAAATGTCAGACAGCAGGATCTATAACTTATGCTGACGATGTGACAGCGTCATAACGATACCCAGATCTGGTAATATGTTTGTGGTGGCACGATCACACTAGATACCAGTGTTGTACAATTGCTGCTATAGAACTAAGTTGAATCCACTTCATTTTCTACTTTATGAGCTATCTAATTGATGGTGTAAAATTCTACGTGGTTGTGGATCGTAAAAGAGCGAGAATAGAGCTGATTC